TGTCGCGGCTCGCTTCGACGCGTCATTAAAATTCAGCCGGCCGGTAGGCTCGCTGCGCAATCTATATACGCCACACAGAGGTGTTTGGACAGTAAACGGCCTGGGTACAAGGCTGCATGCGGATAGAGTAGCTATAGGGTCACTCTAAACTTTGTGCTGTGATATTGTCAGCAAAAAGTGATTTAGAGTAGATTGGGACCTCAGCACAATATGATGAGGGATCTCTCTACTCAGTGTTTGTTTGCGTAACAATCTGTAAGAATGAAGGGTTCTCTGGTAAGGGCTACGTTATAGTAATACTCTACTGCACACTGTGAAAATTATCACAGTAACACTAAAGGCATTGTTAGCCATGGAGTAGATTGGGACCCCAGTACAGTGGATCTTCACTCTATTCTGTAGTAGAGTATGTGTAGAAAATGAAGGGTTGCCTGGTCGAGGTCATCTTATAGCTGCAAAACAATGTGTGAAAATTGTCACAGTAACACAGAAATGTGTAAGGGGTGGCAGACCGGACACAGGGACTGAACGAGTCCCATCGCGGGCCCGCGTGGGGTTGATTACATAATTATAGCCAATGCGGCGCTCGGCCGCGGATCCACTGTCTACTGTGGAAAAATGAAGTGCATCGTGCTGACTCTTTCTCTTCTTGTGGCTGGAGGGTGTCTTCTGCGGACAGCTAACGGCCGTATGTTTAGAGCATTCACGTAGTCACGGGCACGAAGAGCATCTAAGAATTTTGCCCTTCCTACACAGAGTGCCATATTACCATCATTGGACACGAAGACTGCTACATAGCTGGATTCCAGCAAGACGTGACCTGCGTTTTCAGTTGCCAGAACGTGGCCAGCATCCAGTGGTTCCTGATTTTTGGAGAGTACATGCTACCTATAGGGAGTCCCAGTACTGACACTGAAGCAGTGCTGTCCGTGAATCTCCAGATACGTAATAACGGGACACAGTACAAATGTGTAGTCAGAGATACATCTAACGTTGGGTATGATGGAGACAATCACCGTTTATGTCAGAGGTAAATGTGCATAACATTAGCTAGCATCATCATTAAAATCTCTCCTGATTCGTGAGGATCGGTCACTGATCATTTTCGATTCACTTCAATTCTCCCCCTTCTTATCATCCCCCTAAGACTTGGAATGTGTGCTAGAGTAATGGGTGGAAATACTACACAGTATCACTGAGTCTACAACTCTTTGTGTGCAACTGTTTGTACAGACAGAGTGTCTCAAAAAGAGTTTTGATAATGCGCCAAGAAATGGGTAACCACAGTTTCACTACTGAGAATTAGTGCTCTGTAACCCGATGCCTAGGTACTGTCGTATGTGTCTCCCCCAACTGAGCCCCTTCTTTTTCTCTCTGTCATCACTCAGAGCTGGAACACTCACTCAGCATCAGTGCCTCGCAGAAGAATCCGGTGGTAGCTGGTACTACGCTGACCCTCACCTGTACAGCAGTGAGCAGTAGACCCAGCCCAGCTCAACTGGATCAACTCAGATGGGGCCACAGTCACCTCCACTTCTTTCATCACCGTGTCTCAACAAGTTGTTGTTGGATTTACTACCACGTCCACCTCACATTTGACCCTCTCAAGACGTCACATGCAGACACCTATACCTGCTCCTGTGTCATTGATTATCCCAGCTCAGTTGCCAACACCACTCACCAAGTCATCGTCCAGAGTAAAGTGTTACACACAGAAAAGACCCTGTGTAGTTTGTACAGTCCCAGCTTTTTATATGGACTCAGAACCTAGCATATTACAAAGCTACCCGGGGATGGATTTTGTAGGGCAGAGGGCTAAAGCCACACCATTATAGTGCATAGGGTGGGCAAGCTACAGTAAAATCATGCTGATGTAGCTACCCCATGCTCTTCTTAACATAGTGTTCAGCTCATGCAACAGTTAGTGCTGGGGAAAACATGCTGGCAAATGCGTAATAGTTCAACTTTGTAAAGGGGGAAGAATGGTGTTACTGTCTATGAGCACACAGTAGAATTGACGACAAGAAAATTGCCCTATTTAGAGAAGTGTCTCGCTCATTAAGAATAGCTGATGCATGTGCATGTGTGTGTGTAGCTTGTAACAAAGTTATACTCTTTCAGCAAGATGGAGTATAGGAACAATGAGCTGGACGAAAAAACTAATAAGGGCTACTACTTGATGATAGTAACTGCAGCTAGCTACAATTTCCCACGGAGCATGTGCTCAGAGCAAAACAAAGTAAAGTGTTAGCACACATTCTTTATACAGGTTCTTTTTGCAACCTGCCCGTTATCCACACTGTATTATGATTCCTCTCCTACAGTCCCGCCACCAATTGTGAGCATTGTGAGCGACCCTCCTCCCTCACAGGGAGTGTCGACTGGTGACACTCTCACCATAACATGCACTGCAGTCGTCTCTAAACTGTGTTGACACACCGACCACAGTCGATACACGATGGACGACAGAAACTCTCTCCGCGATGCTCCCCGTGTGACTGTCACCCAAGTATCTACCACACCACCATATGAGGTCTCTGTCTCCATATCTTCCCTCATATCCAGCGACACCGGAACCTATGAGTGCTGTGCTCAGATCCATTCTGTGGGAACTCCGTTGGTTAATGACAGTGACCTGGTTCATAACTCCATCGATATATCTGCCTGTAAGCCGATCTCCTCTGCCATTATGTTTGAAGTGTGTTAATAGAGAAGCCTAATCCCACCCAGGGCAGCTCTTTTTTTCCTCGGAGAAAAGAGTTGTCCTGAGTGTCGTCGTGATGTTTGGTTTGCCTTTACCTTGAGACCTTGTTGTTGACACATTATACAGTGCATGCATTAGCATTTACCATTGGTGTGTGCTTACACAGCTCTCAGTGTGGAGGTCCTGGTTGATTACGAGGTCCCCTGTGATTATGAGTATCCCAGTCCACCATACTATCGTCCGTGCACCCCAATCTCTCTGCGGTGTGAGGCACGCGGGGCATCGGGAAGCGTCAACTACCGCTGGAGCTCTACAAACAGTGCTAGTTTCGTGAGTGGTGGGACAAACATGACTGTTTCTACCGACATGCTCACTTACCTGGACGGCGGCTTACACACCTGCTGTGCACATGATGCACAAGGAAACCGTGGTTGTGACAGAGTGGAGATGGTTGTTAAAGGTGTGTGTTGAAGCATTATAGTACAAACTTATTGTCATTCATGACAAAGAGATTTTATAGTCTTATCCTCACAAGCTTAAGAGCTCTGTTAATCACAGAACGTTGCTATGGGGTTGCACAAGAAGTATCTGAGGCAGGGGTTTCTTGTTTATGTAGCTACCACATTCCTGTGTTAAAAATGGAATGTGGCAGCTATTTTTAGGAAAAAACATTATTCACTGGGGCCTATATATACCATCTCTGGCTACAGTTAATACCACAACATAATGCAGGGATGGGACTGTACATTGATGACAGCGAGTACATCTCTGGAGCTGCAGTTGCAAATAACTCGATTGTGGTTCCCAGATCCTCATCTTGTACCAACTGCAAACTCGACATCTACTGTTGCACAGACAGAGCAGGGCTCCAAATGGAGTTTGTGTTCCCCGACGGCATCAGGAAGACAACGACCAATGACTACTACAACATGGAAGTGGAGCGGCTGACTAGCACGGCTAAAATTCGAGCCTTCAACCACCTCTCCTACTACCCACAGCTCTATGGGCTCTATTGCTGCAACGTACGATCTCCGGCTCTGACCAGCAGTGTGGCTGTTTACTCCTCCCTACCAGGCAATTCTCCCCCTTCTCTCTCTTTCACACACACACACACACACGTGCACACACACATGCACACACCACCATAATAGAATAAATTTACCCCTTTCTCTTTGTGTGGTTCAGTTCACTCTAGAGCTAATTCAAATTTGTTTATGGCAAGCATGACTGAAGTTACGAAAGTTTCTTGAATCATAGCGACTGCTATATAATTATGTATACGGCATTATCCCAACCCTGCAGGGCCACCAAGGGTATATTCCAGTGGTTTTGAGATCAACGAAGACCCAGATTCTGACTGCATCATCAGTATCATTTGCAGCACGTCGGACTCGCCACCATCCAAAGTGAAGTGGTGTAGAAACGGGGTACCGATCACCATTGATGGCACCGACTACGAGGCAGAGCAACAAGTGACTGACCGACGAAACTTGTACTACGACAATGTCCTCCACGTGAAGAACTCTGAGTTTGCGGCAGGCAGACATCAGTTCGAGTGCAAGATTAACAATTCGCGAGGCAGCCATGCTCACACCGTTGAAACCAATGTTCCTGGTACGTAAGTCATGTGTTAGCTGTGCAGTGTACGGCGAGACTCTAATAATAGAATACTCTTTTCCCCCTAATTTATGCAGTGTACGGTGAGACTCTAATAATAGAATACTCTTTCCCCCTAATTTATGCAGTGTACGGCGAGACTCTAATAATAGAATACTCTTTTCCCCCTAATTTATGCAGTGTACGGTCAGACTCTAATAATAGAATACTCTTTTCCCCCTAATTTATGCAGTGTACGGTCAGACTCTAATAATAGAATACTCTTTTCCCCCTAATTTATGCAGTGTACGGTCGAGACTCTAATAATAGAATACTCTTTTCCCCCTAATTTATGCAGTGTACGGCGAGACTCTAATAATAGAATACTTATTTCCCCCTATATTTATGCAGTGTACAACGAGACTGTAATAACATCTGAAGGGTCTGAGTTTTCAGGGGAGCGTCATGTCCTTACCTGTACCGCAACACTCCACGAGAAACTCAAGAACCTCCTTCGGTTTGTGAGGATAGAGTGGGTGGGGCCATCTGGCCTCTCCATGACAAAGGAAAACATGATTGAAGTCGGTGGAGTGACGTACAGCGAGTGTGGCGTGTCACGAACTCTCACCTTTGACCCCCTGAAAACCACCCACTCGGGGCTCTATCGCTGCATCCTTTCCATCACCAAGGAAGAGCTCACTCCTTTCTTTCAGAGAGAGATTCGTCACGACCTTTTCGTCATCAGTGAGTGAAAGTCTCTGTAATATGTTGTCATGTGCTGAACTCTATTCTCCTTGGTGGTGTGTTGCAGCTATTGGCCTATTCCAGCTACAGTTTGGTCCTGTGTCAGACTGCAGCACTTGTGCTGGAGACCCGGTGAGAATGTATCGACATCACAATGAAACCCGACCTAGCAGTAGACTAATCCATAACAAGTCTTATCCATACACTACGATTTCAGTAAATAATGATGAGAGTTATATAGCTAGATTCCCTGTAAGATCTACCTTGTATATACAGATTTCAATGTAGATGTATATAATGTACAAAGTGTGATATACTTCTGTGATACCGTAGCTGTAATAAAGACTCTGTACCTGTGATAAAGACTTTACCTTAGCTGTGATGAATCTCTCTTTCCTCCTCAATGCTGACAGAATCTATTTGCTGCTCTGGAGTCAAACCTCAAGACCACCCTGACGAATGCAATCAATGAACGCTGCCACTGTGATTTCGAGGAGAAATCCATTGACCTCGGGGAGATTAGCTATCACTACACAATCGGAAGATCTGCTGTATACAGGTATTACACATACTCCAACTACAGTGGTAAATAATTATACAAAACTGATGAGAAGCAGCTGCAAAACAACATATGGTAGCTAGGTGCTCACTCACTTCCTTTTCTTCATTATGCATGAGATCAAGAGCACATGATAGGAGAGTGTGTTTACTTAGCTACTTCCAGTTGTGGAAATTTATCTATGGCAGCTGTTTCACATGAGTAGTGGCAGGATATTCCTACCAGTCTCCAAGTTACACGGTCTTTTCTCGTCCGTATTCTGTAATTGCGCACTCTTGATACAATGCAGGGCTCGACTGACGGCCACAGTGTACACGGCTGAGCAGCTGCTGGCCATGGTCCAGGACTGGGCCACCTCTGATGGGACGTTCCTCTTCAACTACCACGGCAGGATAAGGCTGAGGGTCAACCCTCTCTGCCAACCTCTCGCCATAGACTCTTTCACTGAGCCCGAGTGTGGACAGAGTGTTGCAGATGTAAACAGCAAAATATTCCCACCTTTTTTAGGTGTGGTCTAAAGTGACAAGCTACTATATAGTCTGACAGTGCACATAATTATGTTATGGACACACTATTTTGGTTGTTTCTCTCTTGCATTCCCCTTGACTGTATGCTTGGTAATAAAAATCTATATATATGCTGCATGGGATCTCAAAACAGTAGCCGGTGGCTTGAGCACGGAACTGCAGCGAAACCAACAACCAACTTTTTTTACGCGCGGCTGTGCACGTGATCAGTTCGCGCTCGCATGCGCGTAAGCCACATCGTACTTGCGCGTCTCACTCTAGACTACTACCGAATCTTTAACAATAAATTGTAGACCATAGGCACTGCCAGAGATGAGGTTTTGCCCCATGTGTCACCTGCGAACCCTATTCAATAGGATCGGACAGTTTTTCTGGAAGCTTGCGATGGTGCGCCCGCGCCGGCGCGACGTTCATGCGAAAGTCTTCCTGAAAGACTGTCCGATTAAAAAATACACATGGTGGGTACACAAACGAAACAAATGGTAAAGGAAAAATTTGTGTATACCCTGAATTGAGATGTAGGTAGGTGAATCACGCATGCGCATATAGTCGGCGCGATTGTGTCCGCGCACCCTATAGTGTTTATGCAGTATTGCGTCTGGCCTGGCCGCTTTCGAGAGATTCAAGATAAGATTGAGGCCCTAAGATGATGAATTCACTTTCTGTCATATTGTCTAAGAACAAAGAACGCGCGCCGCGAAGAGGAGCCGAAACGCGCGCGCAACAGCACATGTAGAAAAGTACTGCAGGCTATTGTTGCAAACAGTCTCAGCTAATCTCCTTGTAGAGCTAAGATGCGTTTTTCTTACAAAAGTGCACACTTTGCTCTTGTTTTATACGTCCTCATCACTACTTGCTCAGGTAATTTTGCGGCGCACGATTTAGCTACCTGCGCGCATGCGATGCCGTGCGTTGGTTTAGCTACCTACGTATACCCATTAGGCCAAGTATTCATCAGAGGAAATGAGGAACCGCTTACGATCGGTCTGTCCCGGGACCTCAACTGCATGTGGAGCGGAGGAGGCAACGTTTCAACGATTGAATGGTTCGTTGTTGGTCTGGAGGCCATGGCCATCGAGACGGCGACTGAGACGACATCAGTCGTCCTCACCCTCACTCCGGACGATGACGGACTGGATGGAGCGATGCTCTTGTGCAAAGTAACTCTGTCCAGCGGTCAAGAAGCAGAGGAAACTATTACTCTCAGTGTTCAAGGTGCAACTTTTCTCCGTGGCGTTGTGTTGAACTAATGTTTCATTGGTGCATGCTTGTTCTTCCAGCAATTCAAAATGAAGTTTCTATTTCCTCAATGATGAATGCAACAGCCGGCCAGCCCTACATTCTGGTGTGTACGGTCCAATCAGAGAGAGCGTCCAACTTGAGCTGGATCGATCCGAATGGAGTTGCATGTCCTCAGGATGACCCACACATGACGGTCTCCTACATTGGCTGGAGTGAGGGATTGAGTACACTCGAACTGACATTCGACTCCATTAGAACATCTCAGAGTGGTGTTTACAAATGCATTTCTAATATTGTTTTTCCTTCATCAAAGAGTGAGGATTCCTTTCTGGTTCATATCCAAAGTAAGTTTATAAAATTGCTCTGCTCTCATTTACCTTTCTGTCCTATCGTTTGCAGTACCTGAGCCGACAGTGACGATACTGAGAGCTCCAGAACACCCTGTGCAGCTGTTTACCAATGACTCTCTGGTGCTGACATGTGTAATAGAACTCATTCCAGACGTGGATTCCTACGTGGCAATTAACTCTCAATGGAGGGGTCACTCGTCCCTCACTGATAGTGAGAGACGGGTCATAGTGTCCGATTTAGAGGGAGTTCAACTCTTTTACAACACCTCTGTGACATTTAGTGCATTAAAATCCAGTGACAGTGGTTCCTACACTTGCTCAGCTACTGTTAGCCCCATCGAACCAGAGAGCCATCTGATGCAGAGCCATCTCGTTGAAGAGACTATTACAATTTCAGTTGGTATGTTGTGTTGTTTTCGTACTATCCCATTTACCAATGTCACCCGCCTCTATAGTTTTAAGTGTGACTGTACAGGTGACCTACAGCCCTCCATCTGCTTTCATTCTGCCTAGTCCACCCTACTATCATCCAACCTCTTCTGTGACATTAACATGTCGTGCTCACCATGCCACTGGTTCTGTGACCTACCGATGGTCCTCTACTTGCAGTAGCTGCTTTGCAAGTAGTGGTACATCTCAAGCAATCAGTGATTCAATGCTGCAATCAAATGATGCTGGAGTTCATACATGTACAGTTACTGACAGCAATGGCAATACTGGAAGTAACAGTACAGAAATGAGACTAATCGGTAAACATCAGTGTCATTACTTCATTACATAAAGTGTTTATTATCTGAATAGGTTCTGGAATATATGTCCAAACAAGTCGGAATCTAAACACTGCTGCTGTTAAAAACAATAGCCTTGTAATAGTGAGACCGAGACCATCATGCTATTACTGCCAAGATACTGTGGTGGATTTGTACTGCCACTCTAACGCAACATCACAAACAGTTGGTTACTTCAGATACCCCAATGGAAATAGATATTCTACCTCCTCGGACTCTTCTTATTACACAGAACAACGTAGTTACTCGGGCATTCGTCTGTATGGTACTTCTTCACAATATTATGGCTCTGTAAGTATATGGGGTATATTTACTTGTGAACTGACTAATGCTGAAGGAAATAGAGTTGAACAGAGCATAGGGATTTACTCTTCAATGCCAAGTAAGTTGTACTCTTAAGTTTAAACTGTATCAATGAGACAATTCTTCAGGTGCACCATCGGTATATAGAATGAAGTATAATGATTGGAGTAGTGCTTCTACTACTTTTCTTGCTAGTGTAGAATGTCTCACTCAAAATTCTCCACCAACTACTGTGACTTGGCTAAGAGATGGGGTAACAGTGCAAGTAGATGGAACAGCGTATGAGATGATACAAACCGTGATTGAGCGCCAATCATATTCAAGATATAACAATACTTTAGTCATTAAAGATGTTTTTGAATTAGCTGGAGATCACAATTACTGTTGCGGAGTTTCAAACTCAGCTGGCACCAGCAGCTCTCAATGCATTGCTACAACATGGAGTGGTTAGTTACACCTTTGTTCAATTTATAATACTATTCACCTTCTGTGACTGTATATAGCTCAGCCTGATGTTATGGTTACCATGCCAGAGGAAGCTATCTACTCTAAACCATTCCAAGCAACTTGCAGAGCAAGTCTTCAGCCAAGAGTGGCCCCTTACCTGACCCAGTACCTGACTGTTGAATGGATGGGAGCTGAGGGGGAGTACCTTACTTCAGGAGGTGCTGTTACCATCGAAAAACAACAGACCTTTTCTACTGCTGCCACTAAAGATTTGGTCTTTAACCCTCTGAATATGACTCATGGAGGAAACTATTCTTGTGAAGCTAAAGTGGTGCTACCTGACTCTGCTGGATCCTTCAACACCACGCATCAGTATCATCTCAATGTCATCAGTGAGGTCGTGAGAGTTTTCGAATGCTAACATTTGTTGATCTTTTCACAGACAGAACTCTTATTCAACTTAAATTTGGCCCGGTTATTCACTGTTCAAAGTGGTATGAAGACAGGGTAAATGAATTGACTATAATAGATAACATAATTTTATTATCATTGTTACATAATAATTATGTCAGCATATGTCGAGTCATCTGGAGGAGAATATCAAGCAGACTCTGACAAATCTCATTAACAAGAACTGCAGCTGTGACTTCCAAATTTTTCAGATTCATGAGGGAGAATTTAGCTGTCGCTCTGGCGATGATGGCTATGTCACTTATAGGTGAGAGCTGGAATAGTTTCTTTAAAACTTTTTATGGAGCACTTTTTGAATCCTCAGGGCAAGACTAACAGGGAGCAGTGATACAGAGAGTATACCACCAGTGCTTGCAGTGATCAAGGACTGGATGGCCAATGACGGGACATTCCTGTACACCTATCATGGGAACATGAGACTGGGACTGGACCAAGACTGTCCTCTTGAGATTGCCTCCTTCTCCCAGCCAGAGTGTGTGAAAAAGACAAATGTGAAATATGAGCTGTAACACATAGGCAACATACAGTTGTATTAGAGCAAGCCGCACGTGAGCCTTTGAAAGTTGGTTAACCTGGAAATTTCTGTAACGTGTTTTTTGGTGAGCAAAACTCAGACGCATGCGCAGTATAATTTTGAAAGCCGCGCGATCGCGCGAAGACACGCACAGATTGCGCATGCGCATTAAAATAGCATATCGCGCGCTCCTATATTATATCCACCATTCCAAGCCAGGCGGCCTAAGAGAGAGATTCACCGAGGCCCTACGATAATAAATTCACCCTCCTTGCGTTTGCGCGCGCAGAGACGCTCACAGCATCGAAAAGTCCGTTGAAGGCAGTTGAGGCTTCGTAGAGATATGATTTCTTTCTTATACAAAAGTATGCACTTCGTGCTTATTCTTTTTTGCTTTGGCCCACTGTTGCTCAAGTAATTTAATTTCGAGTGCGTGGCCCACACGTGCGCTCGCTCATAGAGCAGGTAATCATGAGGAACCGCTGACGATCGGTCTGTCCCGGGACCTCAACTGCATGTGGAGCGGAGGAGGCAACGTTTCAACGATTGAATGGTTCGTTGTTGGTCTGGAGGCCATGGCCATCGAGACGGCGACTGAGACGACATCAGTCGTCCTCACCTTCACTCCGGACGATGACGGACTGGACGGAGCGATGCTCTTGTGCAAAGTAACTCTGTCCAGCGGTCAAGAGGCAGAGGAAGCTATTACTCTCAGTGTTCAAGGTATGTAAATGAATCTTGGCGACCGGGAGCGACCAAGCGTCGGTTAGACGCTCGACCTGTCGTCAAGAGCAACTCGCATTACGACATGATCAGCATCGGTCGGATGTTACACAATTGACAATTGCTATGCCCGTTGTTTGCAAGGGTTGGTTCGCTAGGTTTATTCAGTGAAAATCTTTCTTTTAAGCAATTCAAAATGAAGTGGTGATTTCATCTTCCATGATTAATGCAACACCTGGGCAGTCCTACACTCTGGTCTGCACTGTTTTTTCAGCAAGAGCATCTAGACTGCATTGGGTCGACCCGAATGGAGGAGTTATTGACGATGGTTCAAACTTTAATGGATGGAGCGATGAAATCATTCCCACAGAACTGGCACTGACCTACAGTGGATGGAGCAATGAAATAAGCACATTTGAACTGACTTTCCACTCTATTATAACATCCCAGAGTGGTGTGTGCAAGTGTGTCTCTAATATTGCATTCCCTTCTTCGAAGAGTGAGAATTCCTTTCTGATTCAAATCGAAAGGAAGCCAATAGTAGTTTGTGCGTCATTCGTGTGTTTTTATGTACACCACAGTTCCAGCACCATTTGTGCCCATACTAAGAGATCTGGAGCCTCCCATTCAACTCTCTAGCAGTCACTCTCTGGTCCTGACCTGTGTCACACAGCTAATACCTGAAGTCGACTCCTACATCACCGTGGATTCTCGCTGGAGTGGACACTCCTCACTCACCAACAGAGAGAGAAGGGTTATCGTTTCCGACTTGAGGGGTGTCCAGTTAATGTACAATACGTCTGTGACTATTAGTGAAATGAAATGGAGTGATAGTGGCTTTTATGTGTGCTCTGCTTCCAGTAGTCCCCTGCCAGGAACTCCATTCTGTTAGTAGAATGACGTTTAGACAAGAGATTTCTAACGGAGTCACGTTTTATCACATGTTTATTAATGAGAACTGAGCTACCAGTTTGTGAGCGTGCTGCTTTGAGCACAGGCTATTTTGCAGCTATAAACATCGCTGAAGCTACAGCAACATGGTTCTTCAACGAGGGCTGCATTTTTGAAAAAATAATGTGAGCATGAATAAATAATGAGCAGTGGTGTGAGGATAGATAATAGGCAAATGAGGAGTGATAAATAAAGTGTGAGAATAAATGATGAGCAGCTATTCATAGTGGTAGAATATTAATGAGTAATGATTGAGAATAAAAATTAATGATGAGCAGTGCAGTGAATGTGAGATGTAATAATGTGCGTATATATCAGAGAGTCGGTAGACTCTCTAGCTATATAGGGACGACGCGGGTGAAATCTCACGTGATCCGCGTATAAAACGACTAAAAACTCGGTGAGAATCACTCCCTAGGCCTTCAAAACATACTAGCAATAGTTACGGGCCCATATATACCTATACATGTCCCCCAAGAGCTCATACGCACCTTCAGTCGTCCACGCGAGAATTCGCTCATACGCGATTTCACGATTTTCGTGTCATCATTTCTTTATCTCCTTACCAGTTACCAGTTCAAGCACTGATTTTTTCATTGAAGGTCTCCAATTTCGCCGGAGGTGTGCACGGACATCAAGCGATCGTTTCTTTCTTGCCGCTAGTCACTACGGTAAATCATGGAGCTCTTCCATGGTCGACCTGAACAACGCCATTTGCTGCATCAGTGAGCCGCGCGCATGCGCCAGGCACGGGCGTTGTCCAATGTGCGAGCGTATTACCAGGTCAAAATGGGCCTTCATTGTCATGTAGCTTTGCTGTGTAATGACCCCTTGTTTCTTCCCCTTTGGTGCTTCAAGCCATCCCTATATCCCCCTTTCATTTTGAAGAAATCATTTTTCCACTTGTATAGATAGATAGATAGATAGATAGATAGAGAAATAAATAAATAAAAACCACCACCAATATATCCACAAATCCCAAAACATCCATAAACAAAACATACACAAATACACATGACATGACATGAGAGCAGGACACTAGGTGCCCAGCCTTGAGAACTGGGGCGCATGTATCTGTAGGATGTCGCACGTCAAATCTCATGTGATTCGCCTTAAAAATACCTAATGCCTCAATGCTGCCCATATTCCTGTCTCTCACCAGCCCTGGGGTCTTTATAGTGTGGGTAGCTACCGTACTTTCACTGTTTCCTTTGAGTGTAGGCGTTGGCTACTTTCAAGTCTCTACAGAGTACCGACTGCTGTGTGGTAGTAGTATAGTGGGAAATCTTCAAAACCAGTCAACATCTGTTACTCGATGTTTGTGAGTAGCTAGCCTAGCCAGGGGCATGTGCGGTCTTACAGGGGAAGCACTGTTGCTCGTAGCTAATCATGTTATGATTATACACTGCAGCTATGCGCGCATGCGCTAACGTATGCAGATAATAATGCGCGATGGGGAGACTGCGGGGCAGTCTCTGGCGAAATGTTGGTTGCAGCCAAGCGTGCCGTTCGTGGATCGGCTTTTCTTTTGCTCGTCGAGTTTCTTGGTAAGTAAAATAGCAACCGTTTCTTAAGAGCAAAAAGCCGTGATGAAGCATCTAGCTTTAGTTGCAGCGGAGCCGTGTTCCACTGACGGACAAGTGAGACTGGCGGACGGCCTGACCGCAAACGAGGGCAGGGTTGAAATCTGCCTTGATGGAGAGTGGGGTACAATCTGCGATCATCACTGGGGCTCGTCCGAAGCCCGCATCGTTTGCCAGCAGCTAGGATTACCCGCGGAACGTAAGTAGCTCAACCCTCAGTAAAGCATTAATAACCGTGTTCCTTAGATGCCGATGCCATTTACCGATATGGTGGCGTCTCGGGTCTTATACACTACGCTGGATTTAGGTGCGATGGCACGGAGACGCAGCTTTCGCTCTGCCCGGCTGATCAAATAAACTCGAGTACCACACAAATCACAAACTGCCAACACCTAGAAGATGCAGGAGTGCGATGCACTAATGGTACGCCAAGAGTCTTGCCCCCAAGAAGTGTGATATGACCTATTAATTTCCTTGACAGTTCCCTGTGCTGAGAATGATGTTAGACTGAATGAGGAGATAGTGCAGGTGTGTCATGATCAGCAGTGGGGCCTAATGTGTGCCCCGAGGGGTAGCTGGGATGAAAATGCAGTGCAAGTGATGTGCACTCAAGCTGGAAGGCCATCCACATGTTAGCACAGTTACTTATAGTTAGAATGAGAAAAAGAGTTGTTGTTTTTGCCCAGCCCCACGCAGCCCAAGCCGTAGAGCGCTATTCTACGATGCTCCTGTCATACTGAATGACATAACATGCAACGGCACGGAAGCTAGCATTGTCGAGTGTGCCCAAGCTGATTATGGCTCCTTCACTGACTGCGCTAATATTGCTGTTGCTCATTGTGAAGGTAAACTATATACAGTAACATTAGTGTCATATGACTATGGTAGGATTGCAATTTCAAACATGCAGCACAAGAGTCCTGCAATGAACCGAACGCCATACGGTTGACAAGGTTTTCAAGTGACACGATGGGTCGCCTGGAAGTGTGTGCCAACGGCATGTGGGGAACTGTCTGTGGCAATACAGCAACCATTGCTTTGGTGAGGGTAGCATGCAGACAGCTGAACCATGCCCCAGGAGGTAATGTACTGCTCTGATTCACTGAGAAGCACTTTTAACCTCGCGGTTCTCTCAGGGTCACTTTTCAGAGAGAGTGATTTTGCATTTCTACTTGATGGACTTGTTCCAATACGACGAACAAATGTGGTGTGTGCTGGCAATGAGGACTCCCTGTCAGAGTGCTCCTTCAATGGAGCCGATGGAGACCCAACCTGCACTCATAGAGATGATGTCATCATTATGTGTGCAAGTATGTTTTCCTTTACCATAATTGGTGAACGAAGTCAACCTACCTAGCAGTTCAAATGGCATATTATTTTTACAATGGTACTATACAGCAAGTCGCCTAAGCCGAAGTTTCACACTCACATCCACTTTCCATTTCATGACATCCCCCTCTATTTCGCAGCTCAGAGTGGGTGTAATGAGGGAGATGTTCGGCTGGTAGACGGCCAAAACACCAACTGACGGACGAGTGGAAGTATGTCTTGAAGGGTTTTGGGGCCCAGTGTGTGACGACAGGTGGGACTCCAGAGATGCTCAAGTCGTGTGTCGGCAATTGAATTTCAATGGACGTAAGTTTCTCTTGAGTGGTACATGTAAGTGCACTGAATCTTACTGGGCCTTTAAAAAACCTTTGTCATAGCATCGTATCCACTGCTGAGTTTTGGAGCCGGCCAATCGTCCACTATTCACCTGGATGATGTTCACTGTAATGGATCTGAGGAGAGAATCACTGAGTGTAGCCACAGTGGAATAGGGATCCACAATTGCCGTGCGGGCACTGAAGAAGCTGGAGTCATATGCACAAGTATGTGCCATCAAGGGGAGGGGGGCAGCAACTGACCAATAGTCACACATTCACTCCTAAAAGATAGAACCTGCTTAGCACACGATAATATTGCCCCTGTGCTCACAAGAGAGAGCAATTTATGTATGAATAATGTGAGTTCATCTTAGATCGGAGTGTTCATCTCGCCCCTCTAACTTTCATTCGTTCTTTTAGTGCATATTGTGCATGAGTGAAATGTGTAACGTCCCTGCGCTCCCAACGACAGTTCCAATTGCTCGGGGAGACAGCGCCTGACGTGTGGGACAAGTCTCATGAGAGTTATCACCTCGACTTATGAGGCTGTTCATACTTCTTACTCTCATTCTCTGTCTCCATACATTATGTGCACGGGTTAAATAGGATACGGTTAAGAAAACCACAATTACCGAATACAATGGAGGGAACTCCCCTATTTCACTAAAACTGTAGCTTGTATGTCGATGCATCTCCATCATGACTGTGCAACCTTGTCTATAGACACAACATGTGAGGATGGGACAGTCCACCTGGTGGGAGGAGACGACGTGTCAAGAGGGAGAGTTGAGTACTGCTATCAGGGAGCCTGGTACTCTGTGTGTGCCAGCGACTGGGATGACAGTGGGTTGGAGGCACAAGTCATCTGCGGAAGTCTGGGCTATCGATTTGGTAGGGCTACATGTCATAGTACTGTTACTAAAGATAGAACTAACATTTGGGCTTATGCACTACCACATTAACTTACTAATTACAGAATCTACTGTAGTGAACTACGGACGAGGGAAGAGTCCAATTCTACCATTCAGTATCAGCTGCAGTATAGGTGACAGTGAGCTTGATGACTGTGCTAAGACTGCACTTGATACCAGCCAGTGTCCACATGTGGCAGGAGTCGATTGTGAAGGTTAGCTCACTTCATATCCTGGCTCACCTGGATGAATTCCCCCTACTACGGCCCAGTACACTGACTGATATGTGTGTCGGTGTGTGTGCTATATACTCTAAACATTATTTTGCATTCTGAAATAATGTGAATAGCTACATTCTGCAATCTGCATTTTGCAAGGGTGTAGAAAAGTGGCTTTTTAGACTCGTTAACTATGCACCAGTTGTACAGTACAATGCAAACCTGAGTATTCATTGTAATGCAGATGGCCAAAGCTTATATTTTTCACAATTACAGTGGAGTAGAGTTTGATTTGGCCTTGTTTTTCCTCTAGCATTGGCAATAGTGAGAACTATATATGTACAGTACCTATATCAACTAGAGTAGCTCATCAAAGATCGGACACCATGTGTATTCGGACAGGCCTCCAGAGCGTACGATAGAATATCATTCAGTTATTCTATATCTAAGATGTAGTGTTGCGGTCAGTGCCCATCTGAAATCGGATACCCCTTAGCCCTAAATTTAGGGGGAAGCTTATGAAACTTCAGAGTAGATGGCTGTCTGAAATTTCAGACACTAGACTAGCTCATCAAAGATCGGACACCATGTGTATTCGGACAGGCTTCCAGAGCGTATGATAGAATACCATTCAGTTATTCTATATCTAAGATATAGTAGTGTCTGAAATTTCAGACAGCCATCTACTCTGAAGTTTCATAAGCTTCCCCCTAAAATTTAGGGCTAAGGGGTATCCGATTTCAGATGGGCACTGACCGCATCTGAATCCCAAGTCACGCACGCACCCTGTAGCACGCACCCTGCCAGGGACGGACATGTGTTAACCCTTAGCCAGCCACGAGCACATAATATATATGCCCAGAGCGCCCATAAGTCCATAAGAATTTATATAGGGCTATAACACAGTATTAGCGCACTGTATATACTGTATTATAGACAGATTATATTATTCTTATAGACTTATGGACGCTCTGGGCATATTTATGTGCCCGTGGCTGGCTAAGGGTTAACACTTACGCCCATAGCACGGAGGTAGTCCAAACGCGGGTCAGTTTGATGCGTATATTATGTGCGGCTAGACGTGTCCGATCTTAGATCGCCGAGGTAGCTACGCGAAGTAAGCGAAAATACTATAGGTGAAGGCTACTCTCCTTAGTGCATGTTTGAGGGCTTGAACTCCGCTTTTACTGGATGTTGTTATATTCCAGAAAGCTTCGTGATGAAGGGAGATTTGCCCAGGGCGTCCGCCGGTAGATGAAAGCGTCCGATGTTACGTAATATCGACAGTCGACCTTTTCGACGGCATAATTCGGCAACAAAAGCGCGTCAATCCTCCAAACTTGGAACGAAGGATTATCATTTGCAACACTACATCCTAGATATAGAATAACTAAATGATATCTTATCGTACGCTCAGGAGGCCTGTCCGATTATACATGGTGTCCGACCTTACTCTAGTCCCACTACATTGCATGCTCACATGATGCCATTTTTGCTTTCCCTTGCTCTTCACCCTCGGCGCGCAGCGCAGCGAGGGTTACTGTAGCTAGTTGTCTTGCGTGTCTGTCTGTCGGCACCCAAACTCCCTTCACGAGCCATGGATCGCTCCACGTATTCAGCGGCGAAATAAATGTGGGGTTTTCCATGAAACTGCTGCGTTCGGAAGTTACGGCGTGAAAACACGAGCCAATATGCAAATTAGCACGGGAGATGCGCGCTCTCTAGCACCGATTGATGCGAGGCACCAGAGGTTGCAATGTGGGGCGTGTATCGACTCTCGCATGTTATCTAGTAGTGTAGCTAGCCCCGTTACTGACTCTCAGCAACCTGGTTAGTAGGAGACGACCAGTAGGTAATGGTCCAGCCCGGCCCATCAATTACCAGTACAACACATGCGCGTACTTCTGCGCGTGCGCGTTTCGTGCCACAATCTGTTTGCGCATGCGCAAGATATTATATATAGCCGCCTATTGTTGAGAGCGAAAGATGTGCCTCACTTGGTAGCATGCTTACCTCGTCTGCAGCCTTTCACAGAAGACTGTGTATATAGGCAGTCTTCCTCAACTTTGCTTTGACATGGAAACGAGCATGCGCGTCTCCGCCGAGGGTTTGCACTTTAGTGCTTTTCATTCTTTTTGCAGCTTTCTGCCACACAGTTGGTATCACAGACTGTGAGATGTGTGGGAGTCGAGAGAGGTGTGGGATTGTTAGGACAGCTGATCGAACCCCCGTCTGCAACTGCTACTCTGACTGTTACGACTATGGAGATTGCTGCTCTGACCTATCCAATTTAGACAATTGCTCTAGTAGGTGAAATTGTTGTCGCATAAGTTTTATTTTAGCCCAGCTCGCACAAGGATCAAATGCACTGACAAGGCTAGTTGGCGAGCAAAGCGAGCCTACCTAGTCTAAGTGATGGGCGAGTCGGGCACTGCACGTACCGTGATGTTCTGTGAAATCCTAATTTTTTAACTGCTTGCGCTCGCTCACCAAAGATACTTGGCATTCTTTCTAGTATTGTGGGTTTTAATAAAAGAGAAGATCAATTCCTACCCATAGGCTTGCATTATGCCCCCCTCCCCAAATATCCCTCTGTGTAGTTCCAGAGTGTGATGATGGTGCGGTTCGTCTGGTTGGTGGAGTGACCAACTCCACTGGGAGACTGGAGGTGTGTGCCAATGGATTGTGGGGCAGAGTCTGCAACAGATTCCAGTATTGGGGTCCAGACAACGCCAGAGTTGTGTGTCGTCAGTTGGGGTTTCCTACTGAAGGTAAGCAAGTTGATTCATCGTGGGTTGTGACAATTAAAGCAAACTTCTCGTAAAAAAGATGCGCGTGTTGTGGAAGGTGAACTTGCCCGTATGTTTGGGGTAAGTGAGAGAGCTCCCCTCCTGGGAGAGGTCCACTGCATTGGAATGGAAACAGAGCTGTTGGAATGCTCTCACACAAGTATCGGACGGCATTTGTGTGGCGTTACAGTTGTTCCTCCAGTCCCAGACATTGTCATTACTTGCTCCGGTATGACTGAGGTAGTACTGTGTATACTGCTATTGTGTTGCTTGTTGCTTATTGAGCTCTTGGGAATAGGTGTAGGTACTCTATGCATAGGGACAACATAGTCGATGTGCCTAGGCAATTGTTACACTTACCACGAAGCATTATGCCGTGCAGCCCTATAAAGAGCTTTTACTAACAATGTAAGATACCGTAGAGTAAAAAGTATGTAGATTCACGTGCTGAACATGCACCACTCTAGAGATTTGCCAGCCACCTTGTGTCAACGGAATGTGCAATATAAACATTGGAAACTGTGACTGCTCTCCTGGATATACTGGTATCTCATGTGATGAAGGTAATCAATCAGACAGACACTGAGCAAGCACATGATCTACTAGCTCCACTCTTATTACGTCCCCTCAGATGTACGGGAGTGTGAAGCAGACAATGGAGGTTGTGATCACATCTGCACTGACTTTCCTGGTGGTTACACCTGTTCGTGCAAAGTTGGCTACAGCACAGATGGAACCTCTTGCAGAGGTATCATACATGCTAAGTGTCCCAAGATTTTCCGGGATCATAATTTTGGGTTCGTCCCAAAGTCCCGGAAAGACCAAAAATTATCCCAGATCTATTCACTTTCGTGTGGTACACTTAGACTCTGAATGGATTACTTAAAATAAAAGGTGGAGTAATTCCATGAATGCATTATGTCGTGTAAGTTGTATAGAAATCCTGTTTGCTTGTCCTGCACGTATGGAGATTGGGGGTTGCAAGTACTGTAAAACCGGAATGTATGAGGTATGCTAAAAGCTATGCTAGCTAGCTGTTTTACACATTGTATTTGTGGATGCAGACATTGATGAGTGTGAGGAAGGGAGCCATGACTGCAGTCAGATCTGTGTCAACACTCCTGGATCATACTACTGCAACTGTCAGCGTGGCTTTCAGCTAGTCGGTGGCACAGAGTGTGAAGGTGTGTGTGTGTGTGTTGTGTGTGTTGTGTGTGTGTGTGATACATGTCTATAACCGGTGCAGATGTGGATGAATGTCAAGTGCTTTCTCCCAATGGATTCTGCAGTCAAGTGTGTGTTAACACTGAGGGATCTTTCCACTGTAACTGTATGGAGGGATATCAACTCTTTCGGTCATTCTTGTGCACAGGTCTATACTGCACTTACTAAAAAATAAGTCGCCAATATCAAACGCCCTATGCAGATATTGATGAGTGCAGTGAAGGGATTGATACATGCAGTAGAAGTGCACCCACACCGGCTCGCTGTATCAACACTGAAGGGAGCTACAGGTGTACATGTGATGAGTACATTGGGTACCGTTTGTCTACTAATGGTACCACTTGTGAAGGTATGTGTATATACCTCTTTGAAGCTAGACTATGTGATTAAGTCTATCTTTAAACCACCAAGCAAAGCAAGAAGTTAGTTTCTGCTTGTAAACTGTTTCAGATGTGGATGAATGTGCTGAAGGACCGCCCCTCTGTAGAGAGACCTGTGTGAACACACCTGGTTCCTACAGCTGCACTTGCCCTGAAGGATATGAACTTGATGTGGATAGGATATCCTGCAGAGGTAGTTCAGCTAAAAATCAAAATACTCGGCGATGAAGAGCTTTTCTGAACAGATATTGATGAGTGCAAAAATATGAATGGTGGCTGCCAGAGCTCCTGTACCAACACACCTGGCAGCTTCAGGTGTAGCTGTGACCAGGGATATAGACTGTTGGATGATGGATTAAATTGTGAAGGTAAGTGAATACACTTTTGAAGATGTCATTTCAACTGACTCTTACAGCCCTCAGTTGTGATCCAGTTCTTGAAGCTCCACTGAATGGTGAGATAGAGTGTGACAGACAGACTGTGGGTCGGAATTGCAGGTTCACCTGTGATGATGGCTACACTCTGAGAGGCTCAGAGAATCGGACCTGTCTCCCCTCCCTCCAGTGGAGGGAACCTCCTGCCATATGTGACCCTCCAATGTGCCCTCACCTCACTCCTCCTGACAATGGATTTGTGTTGTTCCCATGTACCAGAGAGGAGGGCCATCTGTGTCGTGTTGTGTGTGCCCATGGCTACAGCTTAGTGGGTCCTAGCAATCAGACATGTAGAAAGGATAACATGGGCAGTCTTGTGTGGAGTGATGGACCACAGTGTGTAGGTGAGTCTACTCGACAATTTTTAAAACCCTCGGTGCGCATGTGCAAGGTACCTGGTCTGTGTGTGTGTCGACGCTCTGGCAATACAGGCTACGAAGTGGCCTATGAGCAATACCATGGACTTCAGAACTACGTGATTTTTAAATAAAAAGTGATTTTTTGTGAGACCACAAGTAAACGCATACTCAGCCCAGCATACAAAATAGCGGTAACGCATAAGCACAGTGTGCCGAGAGTTTGCACTTTAGTGAAGGGTGCAAATGCCCATTCTGGTAGTTCTATGCTTTCCCTTATAACTACTTGCCACATTAGAAATATTGTGTTAGTGGTACAATGCTCCCTTCACAAAAATGGCCTGTGTGTAAAGTGTCCACAACTAGGAAATACACCAAGCTACAATGGAATAATGGAAGTACTTTATTAGAGAGTCGGTAGACTCTCTATATAGGGATGACACGGGTGAAATCTCACGTGATCCGCATACGAAACGACAAAATACTCGGTGAGAATCACTCCCTAGGCCTTCAAAACATACTAGCAATAGTCTACGGGCCCATATCTACCTATACATGTCCCCCATGACCTCATATGCACCTTCAGTCGTCCACGCGAGAATTCGCTCATATATACGCGATTTCACGATTTTCGTGTCATCATAATAATTCATCTTTTTCTTCTTCTTACCCGCTATCTCCTTACAGTTTAATTAATATCGAACAAAGATATAAGGATGGTGTCATGTAGCTTTGTGCAACTTTGCTGTGTTAATGACCCCTTGTTTCTTCCTTTTTGGTGCTTCAAGCCATCCCTATATCCCCCTTTCATTTTGAAGAAATGATTTTTCCACTTGTAATGTTTCTATTCAGAGAGTGGTCTATGTGACCCAAATCCTTGTCTGAATGGAGGATTTTGTATCGAAGCTGGCACTGACTTTAGATGTGTGTGCAATGGAACTGCAACTGGTTATGGTGGACAGACTTGTGGAGCAGTTATTGTACACTTCCCACCAATCCCACCAGTTACTGACGGATTAGAGTTTCAAATAACTTTATACACTGGTGCAGAAGGATTCAGTGGAAGGGTAAGAGTGAACATTGACAGACCTAAACGTGGACATGTGCTACGTGTGAATAGTGGAGAAATAAGCTCTACAACTGCATCAGGTGCAATAGGGGTAGTAAGAGTTGGTATACGGCAAAATACTGTTAGAGTAATTTATGAGCCACGAGAGAGAAATGTTTTCATATCTGGTGGCTCGGATAATGAGAGACCATCGTCTTTTGAACAATTTAATCTCACACGAGGACTGCTGCAGCCAAGTTGTTGCAGTGCAGATGATCATGTCAAACTTTCCTGTCCTGGGGACTCCACTCAGACAATATCACTGCTATCACCATGTCAGTGGACTACCACTGACAGGGGAGTTACAAGAACAGATGCTGGTGCCGTGTTTGTTCAGAGTAGTTCCCTATCTCTACCAACTTCTCTTTCCAGCTTCAGATACAGAGATGTTGATTACATCAATGACATTAGGTTTGAAATTGGTAACTGTGTAGCTTGCCTTGAATGCAACAATACCAATCGCCAGTGCTCCTGTTATGATCACACACCAGATGACACTGTGGAGTTTCTCCAAGCTAGAGCCTTGGCCTCACTGTGATCGTATCAATCAATCCAGTCATTATCGTATGGTCCATCGGGTTGGAGAGCTCTTGTGGATTTAGTGCTGTCGTTGAGCGTCGCTTGGATGAGCTTATCTAAAATGACATGTTTGCACACAGTCACTCGATTAAGGAAAACTCTGTTTCCTCATTTGAAGGGTTGTGACTAAACTAAACAGGTAACCTGGAAGGCAGTAGGTATTCCGTGTTGAGATATGACAAAACTCTCATCAGCCAGTGATAGATGGCCGCATGAGAGATGACTACAGATTTGGAGGACCTGAGACTGGTGACTCACTGGAGATGTCATTGTGTTTTGCAGTTGTGACTTGTGTCATGGACTCAGGCGTCTCCAGTTCACATGCAGCTCTCCAGCAAAGCATGACAGTATAGTCTACAGTCTCTCGTACTGACAGACAGTGGACATTCTCCTCAATACTGTGTCAGTCTGCAACAGTCTGTTCTCAATAGTAGCAACACCATATTTTGGAAGGGCATAGAGATGATTCACGCGCCACATGATATAAAGTCGACATTCTGTGAGTACACCGTGTGTTGAACTACAAAATACAGGGGTGATGCCCTCAAATTCACGGTGTAAATTGCAGTGGAGAGCTTCAGATTTAACTATGAAGTGAGCACGTATCTCTGGATCTATCTAGCCCATGAGTAAATGATGTATTAGCGTTGCATACTGACAGGGAAGACGAGGGTGAACACTGGAAGGCGAGATTACATTGGGTAGCTAGTGAGCGATGATTGAGGGAACTGAGCTGAGCTTCCAACTCAGACAGCTATGACGGAATGACAAATGCCTACTTTCCAATCGAAGGTGTGATGCATTGTATGGTATTTTTGTGCATTTGATCGTTGCGTAGCGTATCGGTGTTGTAATTTGTAAAGGGTATTGTTCGTTGTAGAGTGTGTAAATAGCAGTACTGGATAAAATATTAAAAGAAGCCCATGATGTCTCGCCATAACAACCGTTATACTCCCTGACTGATTGATGCGTCTCTGACCAGGTAATCCATCTAAACCCTCTGTCAGGTACTCGGCCTTCCAAGAGTGTCGGGTTGTGGTCCAGCCACAGCCTGGTTGCAAGTCAGTCTATCAAGGAGCGACTTCGTCTATTCACTGAGACCACTCAGAGTGCTGTAGCTCAGTGCCTTCTGCCAATGTAAACAGTGACTACAGCAGCTTCTTGGTCTCGGTCTACATGACTGAGGGTCCTCTTCTTGCTATTGGACACCTCCATCTTGCCCTGTGAATGAAATGCACACACATACACATTCATTGGCGAATCAGAGGAATCCAAACTGTCGTACACCAGTAACTCCTGGAGTTCCAGACCACAGCTCTGTGATGAATCTGATTTGTTCAACAATTGCTTTGACTCTATAAGGGAACTCTTTGAAATGAAGGCCAACTCTACAGGTCTGATGTCTGACCTTCTTGGACGAGAGGATTCGGAACCAGTTTCCCTCAGTTTCATTAGTTACAAGTGACTCTGTTTGGAGGAGAGTTGAGACAGTCACGAGGCCACGTCAGGAATGATCCGCTGACAATCTCCACCAGTAGGGCAGTGTGTGGCAATCCCACGTGGAGAGGGGGGGGGAGCAGGGGAGGGTGGGGGGGGGGGGGGTGTGGGGGGCATACCCAACCCCCCAACCAACACCCCCAACCCCCACCACCACACCGGGGGGGGGTGGCGGGGGCGGGGTGGGGGGGGGTGGGTGGGGGTGGGGGGGATGTGGGGGGTGTGGGGGTGGGGTGCGGGGGGGGGGGGTGGGGGGGGAGGGGGAGGGGGGGGGGGGGGGGGTGGGGGGCGGGGGTGGGGGGGGGGGGGGGGGGGGGGGGGGGGGGGGGTCCACCACCCACAAAAAAAAAAAAAAGAGGCTGACCATCACTGCACCTTCCACAAGACTGAATGGCAGACGGACCGGATTGACGGTGGACGGCGCTGTACTATCCTCTCAGCAATGGACAGAGCTTCATGCATAGAATCTCAGTGAGTAGTTGTTACAAGATTAGAAAGCTAAGAGGCTAAGGGGACGGAAAAGGCGTGTTGCGGCAAATCTCACGACGAGAAGCAGTGAGCTAGTCAGATGTCCTTGATCAGTCAGAGGCGAGGCTCTCTTGCTCTTGAGCGAAAGATAACACCAGACCGCTGCACACTTGTCTCTAGGGTGAAGCAGTTGAACAAAGAGGAATGCACAAGAGCCAAAGCAGTGAGAATGAGGCCACCAAAACGGGTTACAAGACAACAAGAGCAGCACGTTGTAATTCAAGTCAGAGATCGCTCAACGGACTGGTCGAATGGACACAAAGTTGTGATATGTATCTTATTGCAGTCGTGTTGGAAAGATTGTTGTGTGTGCATGCCAGGCGCAAGTATGCAGGAGCGGTGTCACAGGCCAACGTCGACATGAAGAGAAACAAAGACGCAAGTGTCCAATCACGGTTCAGATACTGAGAACGTCGTGTGGCCCGTCTCTTGTGATGGGACAACGTGAAGAAGAGGTTGTGGGAGTCTGGAGTGTCACAACCAAACTACAGCGGGTTTGGGTTTGCACTTACCAAACTGCATAGTTACGATGGAGAAGCTGGAAGACTGCTATGGTGGAAATGCGTGTCCCATGTTCAATCGTGCGTGTCCCGCCAGTATAGCAACTGAGTCTTGTGCTTACCGGAAGTGGATGTTCCATCTATTTGAAATTGGAGATAAATGTACTGTCAGATTCTTAATGCGCCATGCCAGCTCTGTTGTGTATGAGATGTGACTGCACTGCTCAGAGTGATACACAGATAGCTCGTGTGTTACGCGTACTGTAATGTGCAGAGTTTATAACGTCTGAAACAGAACACAAACAGAGAAGGCATCGAAGAGGGTATGGTGCGAGAGATGTCGTACTTCGACAAGTGCTGGATGCTCACACAAGTGACACCTGTCACTGGCAGAGTTGCGGAACGAAGAGCAGATGTGAGTCTGACATGAAATCCACGAAAACACAGCGAGGTTAGTAGCATCATGTTGTTGGCATCTGAGTGTTTGTGACGACGGAGACTGCGATATGCATAGTGCTACTGCACGGCTGGCTGTACGGTGTATCAACAGATACGATTGGACGATAGTGGGACCAAGTTCTGCAGAATATTACTGAGTGGGTCAGAACCGCGATCTCAGACTGTCTCAGGGCAATCGTGTCACATTCAATCCAAAATTAAACCACAGATCCAACATCTTGGCCTTCAATGTGGTCACCCACTGCCACTCGTGCACTTTTGTTTCAGAATCTGATAGTACAACAGTGGAGACTCGTCGACGTCGCTCCACCCACCCCAGTTTGACGCCATAACCTCTGAGATCATACCTGTTCCTTTCCACCCTTCCGATCAGTTCAGTCAACCGTGAACAGACTGGCTGATGATCATAGCTACACTAGCATTCATGGGATATGATTCCACGAGCTGGCACTGTTGACCACACGACAAGGCTGCTGGCGACAGACAACCGCAGATCTCAACTCGCGAGACAGATCTGTCTGCCTCTCGCCTGTCCATGCTCACATCTCCAACGCAAACCAACTCTTCATGTTACCGCCGAACGCACAGGGCCCGAGACTACACACGACTTTGCCAGACACAACACCCATCGCACTCTCGTGAGAGAGCGAGAGCGAGTGCACACTCTCGGAGCAGTCTGCGAGGTCTAGAGACGGACCGACAGGAGACGCTTTTTGGAGGTAGGTTGCGGCCTGACCTAGAGGACACTCATCAGGGCGTACGAAGAGCCTGTCGATGAAGGTAGGCTCTACGGGCCCCATGAGCCCGGAGAGGCACGCAACATCTTCTCAGAAAGTAGCAGGACCAGCATGGAGCATTCACACTGATACGTCAGAGTCGGGCTCGTGGGAGGGAAGGGAAGGGGCTGGAGTACGACGGCACTGGCACCGACTGTCTACCAGACCTTCACCCACTGACCGAAACATGCGCTGAACTCATAGAGTTGACTCCAGATAGTGTGAACTGAGCCAAGAGTTCATCTCTGCTAGGGACCGAGCTTCCACTGCACAGCGCACGAGGGTTGCTGAGTGGCTCTTCTCTCGAACATTCCATCCGGACGGTATGGGCAGTAGGGTGGAGCCTATTCTGAGATCGTTCCGCAATGGCCTGTATTATGCACACGACAGACACCTATGGTTACTGCTGAACGACCTCCAGTATGATCACAGCGCAGCACCCTGTCGGTGAATCATAGTTCTCTGGGGGGCCACCCTGCGATATCATGCAGACAGGTCTAGCAGAGTCATAACCGTACACACTGCTCGTATTCCTGGATGCGGGCCGGTCTGTACTGTGCGCCGACAGTTCACCACCCGCGTTGCTGGCACGTGTCGCTCGCTCAAAAGATCTGCCGCGCGGCCTCGGCATTAACTGCCCTGTGTGGCCAGCCGCCAGTTGGCACTGCGAGTCTATCACCCGTGTTGTCAGCTGTCTATGACGCTCCCCACAATACAGTTCTATATCGTTCCCCAGAGTCTGTCGTCACCTACTTTGGTGAACAAAGGAAGCCCTGGTTGCCTGCAACGCATCTGGCTGCCTACCTGGCTGAGGATGTACCCCAGGTACCATCGCAGCTCTGCTGATGCAGACGGGCCACTCTATCGAAGGAGAACAACCAACGATCTGGACTTGTGGTGGATGCCACTCAACTAGAGGACGAGAGTGCGTATGTATGCTTGCGAGGGCGGCATTAACAGTTACGGCAGCCATGTTCGCTCGCAGTATTTGCCAGATGACCCTGACACTCTCCCTGTTCACTGTTATCCCAGACACCAGTTCCTCTGGCGACTCTCTGTATTCAGTCCCAATGGATCCTGCACAGCAGAAGACATGTATGACTCTCTCTACTTCCTCATATCTGAGACTATCGGTGGGAGAAACGTCTACCATCAAAGATTTCAATGTGACAGAAGTGGATTCAGAGAACTATGACGTATCCTGAGTCTTGTGAGCCAAAACGTCACCACACCCTACCTTCACCTCACAACGTTTACCGAGATCATAAACTCAGCACTGCCTCATGCAAGGAGCCTTCGGAAAAAGTGTACAACTGACCACTGATCTTCTCATGGAGACATTGGGGGGCTCATCTGTCCGGGGACGGGATCTTCAGTTGTGGAAGACTCTCTGGTAGTGGGTAAGTTGAGGTACACGTGTCCACCAGGACAGAGACTCAACTCCGACTACCTCCTCTGCTGTAAGCCACTCTCTAACCCTCTCAGTCCTGGTAGAAGCTGTGACCTGAATTCCCTCCACAGTGAGCTGCGAGCGAGGGCACTTCTCCTCTGAGACTGAGCGTTCTCGGATTGTAAATGGAGTCAGTTTCAGTGAGAGTGTTCCAGTGTGTGAGAGATGTCCACTCGACACTTATGCCGATGCTCTCGGGAGCACCACCTGCAGCCAGTGTCCCAAGTACCACACTACCTCATTACCTGGAGCTTCTTCAGTCAATGACTGTCTGCGTGAGTTCATATCCACACAACTGACTTCATATCCACACACCTTCCATGTACTTAGTCTCGAGTATTTGTGGCGATGGTGTGTGTGTGTTTCTCCTTTTGGTATCTGCAGCCCAGCAACTGGTGCTGGAGTGTGAGGCTAGGACCACCAGTGGCACATTGACATTGACTGCAAGACCAACAGACCTCCTCAGACCACCCTCTGCTCCTTCAATGGTGGACTCAAAACACCAGTGTATGCATGCTCTCACTTCTTATGTAGCTAGCTAACCTTCAAAAGATTTGTGTATGTAACCCTCCATCGTAGGTTCCTACCCAGTGTCCATCAATAGAGATGTGTCTCCTCTTGGGAGTCACACACTCACAATCTTGTTGAAGATGACGAGGGATTCCAAGCAGAGGCAACTGTCCCTTACTTCCTTGAAGAAGACTCCAAACCCACTGGTTAGCCTGTGCAGTATAGCCCAGGCCTTAGGTATCAAGCAAGGATGTACTATGCTGATCCCTTGTTTTCCCTCCAGCCTCAGCAGCAGTTCCTCCACTGGTGGTGGCGTTCATCGAGGACTCTCCTCTTGTCCAAGGAGACTCTGTAGAGGCCCACATCCTTCTCTCACGACCTGTCCAGTCTCTGGTGTGCAGACTCAAGGGAGGATCCTTCAGAACTGAGAAAAACTGTGAGCTCTTTAGCAACATACTTTAGTAAAGGGCTTGCTGATGGAGAGTGTACTGTGCCATAAAGCAGGTTGATGAAGGTTTGCCTTGTCTTGTGTTGTACTGTGTGGTAGATGTGAACCCCTACTAGCTGAGTTGCCTGGTTCCTATATAAGCTGGTAGAGTGCTCGCCTATTGTACGAGTGTCGTGGGTTCTCAAATCCCACCTAGGGCGGCACTTCTTCCTGTAAACTAATGGATATACTGTTGAACGTTCTCTACGGAACCACTGAATTGCAGGCTCCGGTGGCTATGTAGAGTCTCTGGACTGAGTCCTGCTGTCTACACTCTGAGAGTAGTGGCCACCAACCGCAGACCTGACACGGAGTTTATCAGGTCTCGTTTCGAGATCACAGACGACGCAGAGCGCTGTACTCTCCACCTCATCAATGGTGGAGTGAGTGTGAGTGAGACAGTGCCACAGTAGAGTTCACTGGGAGGGGACCTGTTCCACGGCTACCTCTGTTACCTGGACAAGATGGAGCCCTACCAGTGTATGTCACAGTCTCTGTAGCTACTGAGTTTGTTTCCAGGTAGCTAGTGATGAGTTGTGGTGTTCCGACTGCAGGCTCCAGTCCAGTGGTGATGAGTGGGTTGAGTTCTGGGAGACATGTCCTGAAGGTGGTACCCACTGACTGTGGCAGGAACAGAAGTGAACCTGAAAACTGACTTCATCATTGAGTGATTGCTGACAGTTGTGCTGACACAGACCTCTGTAGTTATGAAAAGGACCTGCAATTTTTGTATAGCTAAAGTTTTTGTTAGGTTTGTACGGTGTTCATTTTTTCACTAGGTAGCTATGATTTTGATCAGTGTGTAGTTACGAATTTTGGGTGTGAAAATAATTCATTTAAGGGTGAGATACATTATTAATTCATTTCAATCTGACCTCTGCAATGGAAAGTAGTTTCCTTGAACACACAGTACCTAGCTAATCCATGCATGCATGAAGTGGTTTATCAGAGGTACAATGTTGCCTGCATGCACAGTGTGCCCTGAGAAATGAAGTTGTTTACTCCGCAGATGTAACATACTTTCAAATGTTCATCCTCCTACAGGTAGTTCTAACGCATGTGACACACACAGTTATGTAAAAAAGAGACAGAAATGCTATGGACATTCTCAGGGCAACACTGTGTGGAAAATAGACAATAACAGACGGGACATGCCCATGTGCTTCTACATGACAGCGCCTGAGAAATGATGTCGTTTACTTTACACATGAATGTTAGTGCTGCATGTTTCTAGGAAAATTACTTTCAATATGCCCACAAGAAACAAATAGCGTAGGCACGCACATACACCTACGTATAACTGTATCTGTCTGTTTGCATATGAATGCAGGTAATGCGCCATTTGTGAAAAACAAGTTTCTATCACTAGGTAGCTTTGATTTTGATCAGCATGTAGTTACAAATGTGGCAGTGAAAGTATATGCCATCATTTAAGGGACAGAGGAGGAGAATGAAGTAGTTTCCTTGCAAACACAGCAGCAAAACCACTTCATAAATGGACATGCCAATGCATTTTTCTACATTACTGGTATATAATTAGCAACAGAGTAGTTCCGATCAAACTACTTGTTGTAGGAGGATGAATATTAGAAAGTATGCAGAGTATATAAACAACTTCATTTCTCAAGGGCGCACTGTGTGGAAAAACAGATATACATGTCCATATGTTTCTGCATAACTTAGCCCTGAAAAATGAAGTCGTTTACTTTACACATGAACGTCAGTTGCTACATGTTGCTAGGAAAAACTTTCAATATGCCCACAAGAAAGGAAGAGCATAGTCACGCACATACGCCTACGTATAGCTGTATCTGTCTGTTTGCATATAAACTCAGGTCCTGCGCCGTTCGTGAGAAAAACAAGTAGTTTGCAGATGAGGTTGGATCTTAACTGACACATGTGGCACTGTCACTGAGAACTATGGCACGTATTCTCGCTGCCACATTCATCATCAACTGTCTGATAGGCCTACATCCTGCTTACACTTCTGGTAAGCAATTGTCTTTTGGATATGTGCTTAGCTTTCAATGATACTTCAAGTCTCAACGACTAACTATTCTTCAGGTGTATGTGAGCCGCCTTGTGGTGCAAACGGAAGATGCAGTGTAGCCACTGGGAAGTGTGAGTGTTACCTGGGATACACCGGTGACACTTGCAGTGAAGGTATAGCTACAGTGATGACTACTGCTGTTTACAGACCCAGAATCTAACATTCTATCATCAGAAACACTGCCATGTAATGATGACAATGGAGGCTGTGAGCCAGTTTGTAATGACACCGGTGATGGATGTGTTTGCTCCTGTCCTGACGGTTTTGATGTGGACGGAATTAACTGTTATGGTACAGTTCTTAAACTACAAGTAGTTAGACTGTGATATGACTCTTTAACAGACATAAATGAGTGCAGAATAATGAATGGTGGCTGCCAGCATTCCTGTACCAATACACCTGGCAGCTACAGGTGTAGCTGTGACCAGGGATATAGACTGTTGGATGATGGATTACAGTGTGAAGGTAAAATATGCACGGTGAAAACACAGTTTCTGACATGGCAACATCCACAGCTCTCAGTTGTGATCCAGTTCTTGAAGCTCCACTGAATGGTGTGATGGAGTGTGACAGACAGACAGTGGGTGGGACTTGCAGGTTCACCTGTGACGAGGGCTACACTCTGAGAGGCTCAGACAGTCGGACCTGTCTCCCCTCCCTCCAGTGGAGGGAACCTCCTGCCATATGTGACCCTCCAATGTGCCCTCACCTCACTCCTCCTGACAATGGATTTGTGTTGTTCCCATGTACCAGAGAGGAGGGCCATCTGTGTCATGTTGTGTGTGCCCATGGCTACAGCTTAGTGGGTCCTAGCAATCGGACATGTAGAAAGGATAACACATGGGCAGTCTTGTGTGGAGTGATGGACCACAGTGTGTGGGTGAGTCAATATACTCTGCCATTCTAGGAATGGTAAAACGAGCAGTGGCATGTTTTCCTTCATACTTGTTTATGGAGCCACATAAGCAAGTACAATGCTGCCTGTTAACAAATGACTTGTGTTTTGAGCATCCAAAACTATGTAAAAACTAAACTAGAGTGTATAATGTTTTTGTAAAAGCACTAGCAATCAGACATGTAGGAAGGATAACACAAGCAATCATGTATGGAGTGTGTGTAGGTATTTACTAGAAAGGGTGATAAAGCCCATAATGGTATATAGTTGCATACTTGCTTTTGAGACACATGAGCAATATCAGTGGTACAATCTAGCCTGCATAACAAAAATGGCCTGTGTGTAAGTGTCCATAACTAGGTAATGTGTACACTAATTAAGCAGGCCATACACCCGGCAACTTCGTTGCTTCAACAAAAGTTGCAGCAACTTAAGTATTCAAATGATGGGCCCAGGCAACTAGCTACCAGATGGCTTTTCTATAATTCTTGCAACTAGTTGCCTGGCCCCACCATACCAATACTTTGGAAGTTGCTGCAACTTTTGTTGAAGCGACAAAGTTGCCTCGTGTATGGCCTGAGGGTGTATAGTTTAATAATGTTTCTATTCAGAGAGTGGTCTATGTGACCCAAATCCTTGTCTGAATGGAGGATATTGTATCGAGGCTGGCAGCTGAGTTAGATGTTGTATGCAATGGAACTGCAACTGGTTATGGTGGACAGACTTGTGGAGCAGTTATTGTACACTTCCCACCAATCCCACCAGTTACTGACGGATTACAGTTTCAAATAACTTTATACACTGGTGCAGAAGGATTCAGTGGAAAGGGTAAGAGTGAACATTGACAGACCTAAAACGAGACATGTGCTACGTGTGGATAGTGGAGAAATACGCCCTGCAACTGTAACAGGTGAAATAGGGGTAGTTAGAGTTGTTCTACCGAGAAATACTCCTAGAGTAATTTATGAGCCACGACAGAGAAATGTATACATATCTGGTGGTTCGGATAATGAGACACAATCGTATTTTGAACGGTTTAATTTCACAAGAGGACTGCTGCAGCCAAGTTGTTGTAGTGCAGATAATCATGTCACACTATCCTGTCCTGGGGGCTCCACTCGGTCAATATGCACTGCTTGTCTCCTGTTAGTGCAGTGAGTACTACCATATGAAAGTGACAAGAGCAAATGGTGCTGTGTTTGCTAAGAGTGCGTGAGTTTATATCTCTACCAACCTCAGTCTCTGGTCTAAGGTATAGGGAGATACGCGATACACGCTACACAAATGACCTTAGAACCTCTCCCAGTGAGTGTAAAGTTTGCAGCGAATGCAACAACACAGATCCTATGTGCTATTGCTACATTACCACAACAGACACGGCTGTGTCTCTCTCCAACCAGGGCCTTGGCCTTCACTACATCTCCCAAATCCAGATATTACTTCCACCTTGGTTGGAACTGCTTGTAGATTTACAGATGTCATTGGAGTCGAGTGGATCGACTAAAAACGACATGTTTGCACCTGTCACTCGACCCAGTGAGCCAGTCTCATCATTTGAAGGTTGTGACAAACTCACAAACCTGGAAGGTAGTAGGTATTCAGTGTTGAGATATGACAAAACTCTATCAGCAGTGATAGATGACCAGAGATATGACTACAGAGAGGACAATGATACTGGGACCACTGGAGATGTCATGTGTTTTGCAGTTGACTTGTGTCATGAATCAGAGTCTCCAGTTCACATGCAGATCTCCGAGCCAATCAATGACATTCTAGTCTACCATTATCTCCGTCAGTTCACTGACAGACAGTGGAACATTCTCCTCAATACTGTGTCAGTCTTCAAACAGTCTGTTACTCAAAGTAGCAGCAATACATTTTGGAATGGCATGGAGATGATGTCACTGCCAAATGTTAAAGTAGATATTTCGGTGAACACAGATCTTGAGCTTCAATTTAACGAGGGTGGCCTCAATGTCAGGGTGGAATTTAGTGGAGATGCTTCATTCGAATACAGAGTAAGCTTATATTTACATGTGCATATTAATGTATTGGCTACTTGACAGGAAAGACAAGGAACACTGGAAGGCCAGATTTGTTTGGTAGCTAGTAGCATGATTGATGGAACTGAGCAGAGCTTCCATCTCAACAGCTACGACAAAACGACAAATGTCTACTTCTACATTGACGGTGGGTCTCTACAAAATACTCTTCTTGTTTACTTGTTTCTATTTGGTGTATCTAGGTGGTGGGGATCCTTGTAAGAGCAAGACAGGATTATCTTTTGAAGCAAGTTTCCAGCCACAACCTGGTGAGCTGTTCTTCACACAACTTCTTCGATTCACTGAGATCACTCAGAGCTGTAGCTTCAGTGCCTTCTTGCCAATAACCAGTGACTACAGAGCTCTTGGTCTCAGTCTACACACTGAGTGTCCTCTTCTTGCTATTGGACACCTCATCTTGCCTGAAATGTCCCACACCATCACCTTCATCGGATCAGAGAATCCTAACTGCTTCACAAGTAACTTCCTTGAAGTTCCAGACCCAACTCTTGTGATTGAATCTGAGTTGGTTAACGATCGCTTGCCTCTTGGGAACGTCTTTGAACTTCAGGCCAACTCTACTGGTCCTGATGTAGTGACTGTCTTTGGAAGAGAGGATTCCGGACCAGTCTCTAAGTTTCATTCGGTACAAGTGACTCTGTTTGGAGGAGTGTTTGAGTCAGAGGCCACCATCAGGAATGAACAGCTGACAATCTACACCAGTAGTGGTAGTGTGTTTGGCTATCCAGCTGAGCTGACCATCACTGCACCTTCCAACAAACTGACTGGCAGGACCTGGAATTGACCGTGTGACGGTTCTCTACTCTATGGCAATGGAAGCTTCGCACAGAAACTGAGTGAAGTTGTTATAAGGAAGGTGACTGACCTTGCTGATGTAGGACATGTGCATCGTAGAATTGCCCAAAGGGCTGTAGAAAGATCAATAGAAATGCTCACAACTACAGAGTGTCAGTTCAATGAGGTAGTTGAACAGCTTATGAGGACAGAGGAATCAAAATCAATTGCATACAACACCACTCAAACAGTACAAGCAGAGTTTACGGCTTTAGAGCAAGAGATTGAAAGAAGTGGAGGTAACCTTGGAGATATAGTTGCAATGTTGAATGATCTCTGCAGAGATGATACTTATGAGTCCAGTTGCATGCCTGGGGAACTGTGCAGAAGTTGCACCAGTCCCCCACCCTTTCAAAATGTCCAACTGTGATTGCACCATGCTCTTCGTGCCATACCGGGAACAGAGTCTGTAGGTCAGCTCGCCAAAGAGCACTCAACAGTTTAGAGGGTCTGACACGGAAGAGAGGGAATTACTGCAGAGGTTTCTGGACACACAGAGTGCCCTGGTTTCAGCTCAAACTGACTTGAGAAAGGCAGAGTTCGAAAATGAAATGTATATTGAGAAAAAAGACCAGCTAAATATGAGCCTGATAAAATTTAGAGATGACCACAACAGATCCGTTGCAGTGTACAATAGTGTGCTTGAGGAGGTGGAGACATTGGTTGGGATATATGAAAGTGGGAAGGGAAATGGATTTGAGAACATATTCATAATCAGGTCCGTCATGTTTAGCACGAGACTGACAGAGAACCCAACATCCTTAGCCTTGAATGTAGCATTTCAGAAGCAAATTGGTGATGTTTCCGAAGATTATCAAGAATCTTACCTCTACATTTCAAGTCAATCAGAAGAATCCAACCTTGAGAGAATCGCTAATGATATAATAGTTGAGGCATTCACAAGCAACAGACAAGTAACTTGTCGCATTAATGGAACATCAGATGCTGAGTTCAAACGTAAACCTGGACAAGAGTGCATTGGTAAGGGTATTCTACTTATATCGCTAATATTTTAATCATGCTGTCTGTGTTCTCAGCATGTCCATTAGGTCAGTTTAGATTAGGTGAAAATTGCCAGCCGTGTCCTGAAAACACTGCCTTTCCTCTGCAACCTTCACATATCTGCCCTTGTAAGGTAGGCTACTTCAGAAACACTGTGAGCCATCCCGACAGAGTCCAGTTTGAAGACCCCATTAACGAGGAAGCCAGTCACAAGTGTACAAGTAAGCAAACATCTGGATTTGTAAGATCACAACGTTAATCGTTTCTTTCAGAGCCACCCAGTGCTCCGCAGAATGTGTCACTCGCTGTAACACACACTACCCTAACTGTTAGCTGGTCACAACCTGTTGAAGACGGTGGGAGGACTGATCTCTACTATCAGGTGGAATGGAGTGGCAGTAACCCACTTGATCTCTCTGGCAGTGTCTATGTCAGTGGGTCATCAAGGACTAGAACATTCACTGGTCTCAAACCATTCACTACGTACTGTGTTAGGGTGACTGCCCACAACGGAGTCAGTGACCAGGATCATCTGGGGTTGAGTCTCAGGAGAGTGATGGAGTGTGCCGTTACTCTACCTGCTTGTATGCCATGAGTAGCACTCTATGTGCATTGTTTGTTAGCTACCAACTATCTTTTCTTTCAGTGCCTAGTGTAGTGACTGGTGTGCAGGGAGCATATCCGTATGTGGTGTGGAACCCTCCAGAGGAGCCAAACGGAATCATCACCAATTACTCCCTGACCTTCACTTGCTGCGGTTGACCAACACAATAACTACCATCAATGATTGGCCCTTCTATGTCGTTCAACCATCTGATTGTCCCTGCTCATCAGAGTCCATAAATATAACTGTTAGTTTTGGACTGAAAATAAAATTAATGATCTTTGATATTCATTATTTAAGGTCTCTGCTGTAAACAGTGTTGGAATGGGGCTTTCGTCGAAATATTTCCATCTTTCAGGTAGTTTCAAAGTCTATGTTAGCTTATGCTTAGAAGGTTAAAAGTTACATTGTACTAGCATAATATAGGAAAAAAAGATGTATAAAAAGGATTAACAAAACATCTCTTTCTACAGCTCCAACTTCAACTCCATCTCCACCTTCTGTCTGTAACGGTTTGTGAAAATCTTCCTTCTTGCAAAATGTATTTAGCATGTTTATTCATGGATAGATAGGAGAATTCAATGATCAATGCTGGATTCGCTTACTTCTCTTTTGCAGCTATGAATGTTGACCTAGTTCGATATCCCACCACAATAGCCCCAGTCAGTGGATCCGTGACCATAGCTACACAGTGTGCTGACAATGCTCACGTCAGAATTGGCCATAGTCTGGATGTTAGGTGTTCCTCTGATGGTATCTGGCTTGGTACAGTTCCTCAGTGCGAATGCAATGTTGGATATCATTCAGTTTCTGTTGGTGGAATAATGATCTGCCAAGGTCAGCAAAATACAGTGATGACTATATAGACTGCAGTATCAATGAACTCTCACAGCTAACGTCACATCTTGCGATGAGTGTGACTCCTGCTGCCCTGTCTGTGACTCTTGTGGTCCTACCCTTGATCCTTGCTCTGACACTGGTTAGTGTATCCAATTATGTAATTATTTCACTGTAACTCTTTTATAAGAAGTAGCTATATATAGTCCTGAGTTTGCAAGTGTTAAACTGGCATTCACTACCTAAGGTTACATATTAAATGCTTTATCGGAGAGGAGAGAAAGATCAGTCGACAGGCAAAGACTGGGACAGTTAAAAATGAGATTGTCGCTGTAAAACCTTGCATTCAGAACTCTTTACCCCGCCAGAGATATGCCAGCTACCTTGTGTCAATGGAATGTGCAATACCACCACTGGAGACTGTGACTGCTCTCCTGGATATACTGGTGTTGTCTGTGATGAAGGTAAACTAGCTACCACTTCCATCATTCTATAAATTCCGGTAAATCTTCAGATATACGGGAGTGTGAGGACAATAACGGAGGCTGTGATCACATCTGCACTGACTTTCCCTGGTGGCTACAACTGTTCATGCAAACCTGGGTTCACTCAACTTACCTCAAATGGAAGCTCTTGCCAAGGTAGCTTATGACAGTAGCTACACTGTAGTTAACCCTTGCAAGCAGACATTGATGAGTGCGGGGGTGGGAGCCATAACTGCAGTCAGATCTGTGTCAACACTCCTGGATCATACTACTGCAACTGTCAGCATGGCTTTCAGCTAGTCGGTGGCACAGAGTGTGAAGGTGTGTGTGTGTGTGTGTGTGTGTGTATGTGTGTTGTGTGTGTGTGATAACATGCCTATGTTAACCTGTGCAGATGTGGATGAATGTCAAGTGCTTTCTCCCAATGGATTCTGCAGTCAAGTGTGTGTTAACACTGAGGGTTCTTTCCACTGTGACTGTATGGAGGGATATCAACTCTTTCGGTCATTCTTATGCACAGGTCTATTATTGCACTATCTAAAAAACTAAGTCGCCAATATCAAAAACCCAATGCAGATATTGATGAGTGCAGTGAAGGGATCGACACATGCAGTAAGAGTGGACCCACACCTGCTCGCTGTATCAACACTGAAGGAAGCTATAGGTGTACATGTGATGAGTACGTTGGGTACCATTTGTCTACCAGTGGTACCACATGTGAAGGTATGTACACTCTTTGAAGTATGACTATTAGACTATGCTATTTAGTCTATGCTGTAAACCAAGAAAGAATGTATCAAGTTAGCTTTTGCTGTTTCAGATGTGGATGAATGTGCTGAAGACCCGTCCCTCTGTAGAGAGACCTGTGTGAACACACCTGGTTCCTACAGCTGCTCTTGCCCTGAAGGATATGCACTTGATGTGGATCAGATATCCTGCAGAGGTTAGTTTAGCCAACAATGAAAATACTCGATGCTGAAGAGTTTATCTGAACAGATATTGATGAGTGTAGAAACATGAATGGTGGCTGCCAGAGCTTCTGTACCAACACACCTGGTAGCTTCAGATGTATCTGTGACCAGGGATATAGGCTGTTGGATGATGGATTACAGTGTGAAGGTAAAGTATGCATGAAAAGACACAGTTTCTGACATAGCAACATCCACAGCTCTCAGTTGTGATCCAGTTCTTGAAGCTCCACTGAATGGTGTGATGGAGTGTGACAGACAGACAGTGGGTGGGACTTGCAGGTTTACCTGTGACGAGGGCTACACTCTGAGAGGCTCAGACAGTCAGACCTGTCTCCTCTCCCTCCAGTGGAGGGAACCTCCTGCCATATGTGACCCTCCAATGTGCCCTCACCTCACTCCTCCTGACAATGGATTGTGTGGTGTCCCATGCCCCAGAGAGAGGGCCATCGGTGCGTGTGTGTGTGTTGCCATGGCTACACCATAGTGGGGTTCCTGCGCAATCAGCAGACACTGATAGAAGGATAACAGGGCAGTCTACATGGGAGTGATGGACCACAGTGTGCTGGGTGAGGCTATGTGAATTTTGACAGAAAGTGTAAAAGTCTAACTGTAGTTGCATGCTTTTCCTTATATGTTATCGAGCACTGCCACATAGCAATTGTGTTGCCCTCCAAGTAAAAATGATAATTTGTATGTGAGTGTCCAAATAGTAAAACACTATAATGTCCAAGTGTTATAATGTTCTCTTCAGAGAGTGGTCTATGTGACCAAATCCTTGTCTGAATGGAGGATATTGTATCGAAGCAGGTACTGAGCTTTAGATGTGTGTGCAATGGAACTGCAACTGGTTATGGTGGACAGACTTGTGGAGCAGTTATTGTACACTTCCCACCAATCCCACCAGTGACTGACGGATTAGAGTTTCAAATAACTTTATACACTGGTGTAGAAGGATTCAGTGAAAGGGTAAGAGTGAACATTGACAGACCTAAAGTGAGACATGTGCTACGTGTGAATAGTGGAGAAATAAGCCTACAACTGTACAGGTGCATAGGGGTAGTAGAGTAGTATACGCAAAATACTGCTAGAGTAATCTATGAGCCACGAGAGAGAATGTTTTCATATCTGGTGGCTCGGATAATGAGAGACCATCGTATTTTGAACAGTTTAATCTCACAAGAGGACTGCTGCAGCCAAGTTGTTGCAGTGCAGATGATCATGTCACACTTTCCTGTCCTGGGACTCCACTCAGACAATATCACTGCTATCACCATGTCAGTGGACTACCACTGACAGGGGAGTTACAAGAACAGATGCTGGTGCCGTGTTTGTTCAGAGTAGTTCCCTATCTCTACCAACTTCTCTTTCCAGCTTCAGATACAGAGATGTTGACTTACATCAATGACATTAGGTTTGAAATTGGTAACTGTGTAGCTTGCCATGAATGCAACCATACCAATCGCCAGTGCTCCTGTTATGATCACACACCAGATGACACTGTGGAGTTTCTCCAAGCTAGAGCCTTGGCCTTCACTTACATCAATCAAATCCAGTCATTACTTCCATCCTGGTTGGAGCTGTTTGTGGATTTAGAGCTGTCGTTAGCGTCGATTGGATTAGACTAAAAATGACATGTTTGCACCAGTCACTCGATCCCAGTAAGCAGTTTCCTCATTTGAAGGTTGTGACAAACTCACTAACCTGGAAGGTAGTAGGTATTCAGTGTTGAGATATGACAAAACTCTATCAGCAGTTATAGATGGCCAGAGATATGACTACAGAGAGGACAATGAGACTGGGACCACTGGAGATGTCATGTGTTTTGCAGTTGACTTGTGTCATGAATCAGAGTCTCCAGTTCACATGCAGATCTCCCAGCCAATCAATGACATTCTAGTCTACCAGTATCTCCGTCGGGTTCACTGACAGACAGTGGAACATTCTCCTCAATACTGTGTCAGTCTTCAAACAGCCTGTTACTCAAAGTAGCAACACCATATTTTGGAATGGCGTAGAGATGATTTCACTGCCAGATATAAAAGTAGACATTTCTGTGAACACAGAGTTTGAACTACAAATTACAGGGGGTGACCTCAAATTCAGGGTTAAATTCAGCGGAGAAGCTTCATTTAACTATGAAGTAAGCAATATCTATCCACATGAGTAAATGATGTATTAGCTTTTGCATACTGACAGGAAAGACAAGGGAACACTGGAAGGCCAGATTACTTTGGTAGCTAGTAGCATGATTGATGGAACTGAGCTGAGCTTCCAACTCAGCAGCTATGACGGAATGACAAATGCCTATTTTCACATCGAAGGTGAGTTTTGTGAATTTTATTGTATTCTTTTTATTATGTTCTGTGTAGATGGGAATCTGTGTAAAGCAGAACTGGATTATCATTCACAGCAAGTTACCAGCCACAGCCTGGTGAGCTGTTCTTCAGGCGACTTCTTCTATTCACTGAGATCACTCAGAGCTGTAGCTTCAGTGCCTTCTTGCCAATAACCAGTGACTACAGAGCTCTTGGTCTCAGTCTACACACTGAGTGTCCTCTTCTTGCTATTGGACACCTCATCTTGCCTGAAATGTCCCACACCATCACCTTCATTGGATCAGAGAATCCTAACTGCTTCACTAGTAACTTCCTTGAAGTTCCAGACCCAGCTCTTGTGATTGAATCTGAGTTGGTCAACAACCACTTGCTTCTTGGGAACATCTTTGAACTTCAGGCCAATTTTACAGGTCCTGATGTAGTGACTGTCTTTGGAAGAGAGGATTCCGGACCAGTCTCTCAGTTTCATTCAGTACAAGTGACTCTGTTTGGAGGAGAGTTTGAGTCAGAGGCCACCGTCAGGAATGATCAGCTGACAATCTCCACCAGTAGTGGCAGTGTGTTTGGCTATCCAGCTGAGCTGACCATCACTGCACCTTCCAACAAGACTGACTGGCAGGACCTGGAATTGACTGTGGACGGCTCTCTACTCTCAGGCAATGGCAGCTTCATGCAGAATCTAAGTGAAGTTGTTACAAGAAAGCTAAGAAGGCTGGCGGAATCGGCAAATTCACGACGAGAAGTAGCTCAGATGTCTCTTGATCAGTCAAAGGAGAGGCTTCTTGCTATTGAGGAAAGATACAACCAGACAGTTGCAAACTTGCCTCTAGCTGAACAAAGGAGGAATGCCACAAGAGAAAGCATTGAAGAGGCCACAAAAAGGTTACAAGAAATAGAGCGGCGGTTCAATGCAAGTCAAGATCCGGGACTAGTAGAATTGGACAAATTGTGTACTTTGCAGGTGTGTAAAGATGTGTGCATGCCAGGCCAAGTATGCAGGAGCTGTTCCAGGCCAACCTTCATTGAAAAAACAACCAAGTGTCCAATCACGGTTAAAGAACTGAGAAACGTTCGTGTGGCCCCGTTCTTTGTGATTGGGACCACGTGGAGGTTTGTGCTGGAGTGTCACAACGAAAACAGCGGGGTTTGCACTTTACCAAATTGCATAGTTTACGATGGAAAGCAGTGCTATGGGAAATGCGTCCCAGTTCAATCCCTTCTTCCAGTATACAACTGGGTGCTTAAAGAAGTGGATGTTCCATCTTTTGAAAATTGTACTGTCAGATTCTTTAATGCGTCCATGCCCAGCTCTTGTTGTGAGAATGTGACTTGCGCTCAGAGGATACAAAATAGCTCGTGTGTTACGAGTAATGTAATGTGCAGGATTAAACGTCAGAACACAACAGAAGGCATCGAAGAGGGAAGGAGAGAGCTTCTTCGGCAATTGCTGGATGCTCAAAGGAACCTGTCACTGGCAGAGTTTGCTGGAAGAAGAGCAGATGTTGAGTATGAAATCCACAGACAGAGGGTAGATCAGTTGGCAATGAGTTTGGAGAGACTTCGATATGCAAGTGATAACTCTGAAACGGTGTATAACAGAACATTGGAAGAAGTGGGACCAATTCTGAGAATATTTGAAAGTGGTAATAACAGCGGGTATCAGAATGTCTTCAGGATCAATAGTGTCACATTCAATACAAAATTAACCAACAGTCCAACATTCTTGGCCTTCAATGTGGTGTTTCAGAATCTGATAGACAACAGTGGAACTGAGTACCGAGAATCATACCTGTACATTTCAACACAATCAGAAGCAGTCAACCTTGAAAGAATGGCTGATGACATAATAGACACAGCATTCATTGGAGATTCCAGGAGTAGCACGTTGCCACAGACAAGGCTGCGGAGACAGACAACAGCAGATCTCACTCCGAGACAGATCTTTGCCTCTCGCTGCACTCACATCTCAAACACACAACTCTTCTTTACCGAGATCCAGGCCAGACTAACAGAGATTCAGGACAACATCGACACCTCTCGTGAAGGAGCCGGTGAACTCTCGGAGAGTCTGAGTCTAGACGGACCACAGGAGGACGAGGAGTTTGCGGCCTACCTGGACCTCATCAGGGGCTACGAAGACCTGTCGATGGAGGCTCTACGGGCCCTGGAGAGCACCATCTTCTCAGAGTGGCAGGCCAGCATGGAGCTCCTGTACTCAGAGTCGGGCTCAGTGGGGGAAGTGGGCTGCGACGGACTGGCCGACTGTCTCCAGACCTCCACTGACCAACTCCTGAACCTCATAGAGTTGACTCCAGATAGTGAACTGAGCCAAGAGTTCATCTCTCTGAGACCGAGCTTTCCACTGGCCGCCAAGAGGTTGCTGGAGTTGGCTCTTCTCTCCAACATTTCCATCCAGGAAGGTCTGGCTAGGGTGGACCCTATTATTGAGATCACAATGGCCTATGCAACAGACAATTACTGGTGCAACGAACCTCCAGTTATGATCACAGAGCCACCACCCGAGGTGAACATTTCTCTGGGGGCCACCCTGCGATTATCATGCAAAGCAGAGTCAAACCTACCACTGACGTATTACTGGATGAGGGACGGTAATGTACTGCCGCAGTTCACCACAAACGAGTTGGTCATTGCTGCCGTGCAGCGACAGGACTCGGCCAACTACACCTGTGTGGCCAGCAACCCAGTTGGCACTGCCGAGTCTATCAACACCAGTGTAACAGTCTATGAGCTCCCACAGTTCTATCTCTCCCCAGAGTCTGTCGTCACCTACTTTGGTGACAGGAATGGGGCCTGGTTTGCCTGCAACGCATCTGCCTGGCCCTACCCTGGCTGGAAGTGGTACCATCGCAGCTCTTCTGATGCAGACTGGACACTCATCGAAGGAGAACAAACCAACGAACTACTTGTTGTGGATCCCCAACTAGAGGACGAGGGTATGTATGCTTGCGAGGCATTTAACTATCACGGCAGTGTTCGCTCCGAGCCAGTGACCCTGACACTTCTCCCGTTCACTGTATCCCAGAACCAGTTCCCTCTGGAGTTCTCTGTATTCAGTCCCAATGGATCCTGCACAGCAGAAGACATGTATGACTCTCTCTACTTCCTCATATCTGAGACTATCGGTGGAGAAACGTCTACCATCAAAGATTTCAATGTGACAGAAGTGGATTCAGAGAACTATGACGTATCCCTGAGTCTTGTGAGCCAAAACGTCACCACACCCTACCTTCACCTCACAACGTTTACCGAGATCATAAACTCAGCACTGCCTCATGCAAGGAGCCTTCGGAAAAGTGTACAACTGACCACTGATCTTCTCAATGGAGACATTGGGGGGCTCATCTGTCCGGGGACGGGATCTTCAGTTGTGGAAGACTCTCTGGTAGTGGGTAAGTTGAGGTACACGTGTCCACCAGGACAGAGACTCAACTCCGACTACCTCCTCTGCTGTAAGCCACTCTCTAACCCTCTCAGTCCTGGTAGAAGCTGTGACCTGAATTCCCTCCACAGTGAGCTGCGAGCGAGGGCACTTCTCCTCTGAGACTGAGCGTTCTCGGATTGTAAATGGAGTCAGTTTCAGTGAGAGTGTTCCAGTGTGTGAGAGATGTCCACTCGACACTTATGCCGATGCTCTCGGGAGCACCACCTGCAGCCAGTGTCCCAAGTACCACACTACCTCATTACCTGGAGCTTCTTCAGTCAATGACTGTCTGCGTGAGTTCATATCCACACAACTGACTTCATATCCACACACCTTCCATGTACTTAGTCTCGAGTATTTGTGGCGATGTGTGTGTGTTTCTCCTTTTGGTGTCTGCAGCCCAGCAACTGGTGCTGGAGTGTGAGGCTAGGACCACCAGTGGCCACATTGACATTGACTGCAAGACCAACAGACCTCCTCAGACCACCCTCTGCTCCTTCAATGGTGGACTCAAACACCAGTGTATGCAGCTCTCACTTCTTATGTAGCTAGCTAACCTTCAAAAGATTTCTTATGTAACCCTCCATCGTAGGTTCCTACCCAGTGTCCATCAATAGAGATGTGTCTCCTCTTGGGAGTCACACACTCACAATCTTTGTTGAAGATGACGAGGGATTCCAAGCAGAGGCAACTGTCCCTTACTTCCTTGAAGAAGACTCCAAACCCACTGGTTAGCCTGTGCAGTATAGCCCAGGCCTTAGGTATCAAGCAAGGATGTACTATGCTGATCCCTTGTTTTCCCTCCAGCCTCAGCAGCAGTTCCTCCACTGGTGGTGGCGTTCATCGAGGACTCTCCTCTTGTCCAAGGAGACTCTGTAGAGGCCCACATCCTTCTCTCACGACCTGTCCAGTCTCTGGTGTGCAGACTCAAGGGAGGATCCTTCAGAACTGAGAAAAACTGTGAGCTCTTTAGCAACATACTTTAGTAAAAGGGCTTGCTGATGGAGAGTGTACTGTGCCATAACACAGGTTGATTGAGGTTTGCCTTGTCTTGTGTTGTACTGTGTGGTAGATGTGAACCCCTACTAGCTGAGTTGCCTGGTACCTATATAAGCTGGTAGAGTGCTCGCCTATTGTACGGAGTGTCGTGGGTTCAAATCCCACCTAGGGCGGCACTTCTTCCTGGAAACTAATGGATATACTGTTGAACGTTCTCTACGGAACCACTGAATTGCAGGCTCCGGTGGCTATGTAGAGTTCTCTGGACTGAGTCCTGCTGTCTACACTCTGAGAGTAGTGGCCACCAACCGCAGACCTGACACGGAGTTTATCAAGTCTCGTTTCGAGATCACAGACGACGCAGAGCGCTGTACTCTCCACCTCATCAATGGTGGAGTGAGTGTGAGTGGAGACAGTGCCACAGTAGAGTTCACTGGGAGGGGACCTGTCCACGGCTACCTCTGTTACCTGGACAAGATGGACCCCTACCAGTGTATGCCACAGTCTGTGTAGCTACTGAGTGTGTTTCCAGGTAGCTAGTGGTGAGTTGTGGTGTCCTGACTGCAGGCTCCAGTCCAGTGGTGGTGAGTGGGTTGAGTTCTGGGAGACATGTCCTGAAGGTGGTACCCACTGACTGTGGCAGGAACAGAAGGAACCTGAAAACTGACTTCATCATTGAGTGATTGTTGACAGTTGTGCTGACACAGACCTCTGTAGTTATGAAAAAGGACCTGCAATTTTTGTATAGCTAAAGTTTTTGTTAGGTTTGTACGGTGTCAATTTTTTCACTAGGTAGCTATGATTTTGATCAGTGTGTAGTTACGAATTTTGGTGTGAAAATAATTCATTTAAGGGTGAGATACATTATTAATTCATTTCAATCTGACCTCTGCAATGGAAGTAGTTTCCTTGAAACACACAGTACCTAGCTAAGTCCATGCATGAAGTGGTTTATCAGAGGTACAATGTTGCCTGCATGCACAGTGTGCCCTGAGAAATGAAGTTGTTTACTCCGCAGATGTAACATACTTTCAAATGTTCATCCTCCTACAGGTAGTTCTAACGCATGTGACACACACAGTTATGTAAAAAAGAGACAGAAATGCATGGACATTCTCAGGGCACACTGTGTGGAAAATAGACAATAACAGACGGACATGCCCATGTGCTTCTACATGACAGCGCCCTGAGAAATGAAGTCGTTTACTTTACACATGAATGTTAGTGCTGCATGTTTCTAGGAAAATTACTTTCAATATGCCCACAAGAAACAAATAGCGTAGGCACGCACATACACCTACGTATAACTGTATCTGTCTGTTTGCATATGAATGCAGGTAATGCGCCATTTGTGAAAAACAAGTTTCTATCACTAGGTAGCTTTGATTTTGATCAGCATGTAGTTACAAATGTGGCAGTGAAAGTATATGCCATCATTTAAGGGACAGAGGAGGAGAATGAAGTAGTTTCCTTGCAAACACAGCAGCAAAACCACTTCATAAATGGACATGCCAATGCATTTTTCTACATTACTGTGTACTATTAATAATTAGCAACAGAGTAGTTCCGATCAATACTTGATGTAGGAGGATGAATATTAGAAAGTATGCAGAGTATATAAACAACTTCATTTCTCAGGGCGCACTGTGTGGAAAAACAGATATACATGCCCATATGTTTCTGCATAACTGAGCCCTGAAAAATGAAGTCGTTTACTTTACACATGAACGTCAGTGCTGCATGTTGCTAGGAAAAACTTTCAATATGCCCACAAGAAAGGAATAGCGTACTCACGCACATACGCCTACGTATAGCTGTATCTGTCTGTTTGCATATAAACTCAGGTCCTGCGCCGTTCGTGAGAAAAACAAGTAGTTTGCAGATGAGGTCGGATCTTAACTGACACATGTGGCACTGTCACTGAGAACTATGGCACGTATTCTCGCTGCCACATTCATCATCAACTGTCTGATAGGCCTACACCCTGCTTACACTTCTGGTAAGCAATTGTCTTTTGGATATGTGCTTAGCTTTCAATGATAGTTCAAGTCTCAACGACTAACTATTTCTTCAGGTGTATGTGAGCCGCCTTGTGGTGCAAACGGAAGATGCAGTGTAGCCACTGGGAAGTGTGAGTGTTACCTGGGATACACCGGTGACACTTGCAGTGAAGGTATAGCTACAGTGATGACTACTGCTGTTTACAGACCCAGTATCTAACATTCTATCATCAGAAACACTGCCCTGTAATGGAGGCTGTGAACCGGTTTGTAATGACACCGGTGATGGATGTTTTTGCTCCTGTCCCGACGGTTTTGATGTGGACGGA